TATGGCAAAGCGTGTTCGTCACGATTTGCAGCCTGTGTTGGTTGATGGTCCGCAGTTGGTGGTGTGATGATGGACAACGTTGGCCGACTGATGCGAAGGAGTGCTTCGCGACTGATCCGCCAAGACGAGTCCGACTATAACTTGACGGTGGTACTGGAGGAGTGGCAGTTGCTGACCCGCGCCGTTAAGCACTGCGCCTCACTGCAGCGTAGGGCTTCAGAGTCGGTACTCAAATGGTCGATGAATGAAGAGAGCCGTGCTATACGCGACGTCGCCTTCCAGTTTAATGATCTCTTCCAGCTGTGGAGCGATGCCCAGGCCACCTACGACTCGTCCCTGCAGGCGTCCATTGGCCAGCTCGAGAAGATATTTTCTTGTATCGGCGCTATCCATGAGGCAAAAAAACAGCTCGAACAAGCTATTGATAAAGAGCAGAAACTGAGGTAATTATTCCTCCTCAAGATTGATGATTTCCGCGCTTTCAGCTGCTGCAAACCTTGTACCGACTAATGCACGTACATGAGTACATTTGCAATTTTGAAATTACTTACATTAGTTAAAAATCTGTTTCAGTATACATAAATGCAGATTAATGGCTACATAGAGATTTCGACTTTTACACAATCGATTCGCATAATGCATATGTTTGAAAAATTCCATGTACTCTGTGAGTTTCATCTGAGGTTTAGGCTTAGATATAAGGTGAATTGCGAATATGAGCGTTATGTAAATGTTGAAATCTACATACCTGTTAATTGAATTTGTGTAAACTGAAATATAATCGATCAAAAATCAGCACAAGAGTGGCATGGAGCACTTTCAAAAGGCTGAAAATGTTTCTATCGGTAGACCTGCCCTTGTTCTTGGCTAGAAAGTTTACGCTAAGTACATGCTGCCACTGATCAGCTTGACCCTAAGCTTAGAAAACCATTCATATTTCCTACGTAACGCAGCATGTAAATATGTATGCTGGGAATAACAAGAAAATGCAGGAGGACGAATGAATGAACAAGACCAGAAGCGTTTGCAGTGATTAGTAGAAAGGTTGAAGTGACTATGGCCAAACCGCTATACCAAAATTACCAACCATCGTTGAACCAGTGAGACATTAGACTAGGTTCAAAGCGGCTGCAACGCACCGTAGGGAAACCGCCAGGTCGGTGGCAGAATGGGCTCAAGAAGATCGCTGAATTATGATGGATGAAAATTGCACAAAACAGAAACTTCAGAAAAGCTTGGAAGGCTCTTCATCTGTCAGTGGATAGAAAGTCGCTTATGATTATGAGACTCACTATTTAAAAACTCATTGGTTCGTCTTCACTTCCATGGCCGCTTCTACTTTCGGGTCGCGGATGTAGACGCCTCAGACAGGGCTTCCGACGTTCCTGATCTTGTTCAAAAGTCTGAGCTTCGGCAGAAGACAACTGCATTCTGGAACAGACTCTTTCCATATATTTGCACCAGGTTAATCTTCGCCGTCCCTTGGCCTTCTCCCGGCCAGTTAAGTAGTCGCTTACCCTTCCTTTCTCCAGTCATTCGCAACACATGCCCAAACCATCGCTCCTCTAACTTCTCAGTCTGGAGAAGCAGAGGCTGTACATCAAGGCTCTTGCGGATGTCAGTATTCCGGATTACGTCGAGACTCATAAGGCTAGCAATTCGTCTGAGAAACCCATTTCACCAGCTTGTATCGGGGTTCAAGGTTTTTCAGTGATGGTCCATGACTTATGACCATAGGTAAGCATGGAGCTAAAGATCGACTTGAACACCAAGAGCTTAGTTTTCAGACTGAGCTCTGGTTTAGTCACAATGGATCGGGCTAGTTCACGCAGAACGCCACTGGCTACTCCAATTCGCCGGTCGATCTCT